ATAATTCCGTTCTAGTTACGTGATCAAAGCATTTTCTGAAATACAAATAATGATTTATATGGATGACAGAAAATACCATTTAGGTTCGTGATCCTCACAACAACAAACAAACGTCTGTCTGAAGGGTGAGGCAACGTTTTGAAATCCTTCAGACGGCAGAAACTGGGGCTTTAAGCACCATGAGTGAACCACAGAATAGCAACGAGGCTACTGAGGAAGATGCTACTGAATTGCAGTTTCCAAAAGGTTTGTGTAAATGGAGAAAGAGGAATATGAGAAAAGAAATTCCATTAATCAGATGTGTTCAACTAATAGTGAGCATTGGTAATCCTAAGGAAATTTGTCTGGAAATTATATATACTACTATACTCACATGAACTAATCTGAATTGGCAAAAAATAGACAGAAATGAAGAAAACAGGTTGTGATGAATGTTGTTGTGGGAGCAAGTCCATGGCAATCAGGTGGGGGGTCTGGGCACAGTTCCCTGGATGGGGAAATACAGCGATTGGAAAGAGTCTAGGCGAAAAGAGATTCACAAATTTTACAGATGATAAGTGAAAGGATGAATAATAACCACAGAATTGGAGGTAGAAGTTAAAGACACCGATGCGTGTATATAGAGGGAAGTGGACACCGCCATCTTATAGAGTTGAAGAAAAAGAGTGGGGTAGAACATACTGTAAGCTACAGCAGCCTTATTGTCACCACTAAATGAAGAAAATATAACAAATTCTAAGTCCAGCAATTTGTTTACCTTACCAGGAATAACAAAACTCCAAACGCTGAACTTATTACTACAATGTCCAAACTAGTTTGTGTGTTATTACACACTTGTTAAGACGATATTTGGCTAATTATCAGTGTCTGCTGTTACATATTTATGCTTTTAAAGTCTATTATTGATATTATTATACTTCATTTGCGTATTTTAAGATTTATCGATAACCTTGTTTAGAATTGTGCACATCGAGTGTTTCACACTTTCTTTCACCAGACACAGGTTGACACCTCAGCAAGCCCACTCATTTCAAGGTAGAACACCGGTGAGAAATGTACCGTTTCAGTGTTGATTTTGGGTTATTTTTATGAAATTATCAGTGGCAATGAAAAATAATTAGACTTTAGTTACCATCCCAGTTTAATATCTGAGCCCATCAAGAGCTCCAAATGACAAAAAAAAGTTATTAAAATCAATGCTGTGGATATTGTTCTGGCACCGGATTTTATAGCAGTTTGGCTATTCGTCCGGCATACACGCGCACAAACTATTTGCACGCAAACACAAACTCGCGCTTGCCTTGTATACAAACTTTGGCGCTATTTTTGAGTTGCTTATTGTTCATGGCTAAGGGTTGATCATCGATTATGGATTCCTTCAAAGTTGGAACTGAATTTGCCAGTTTTGCTGATGTGAAGGACAGCATGACCAAATTTCAAGGAGCTCTTTCACACAGTTTTATGTCAAAGATTCAAGGACTGTTGCTGCAGCTTTGAAGCATACTCTGGATAAGAAAGTAAAGCCAGAGTTGAAGTACTCCTACTTATTGTTTGCCTGCATCGGGAAATACGGCAATTGGTAGGGGTTCCGAGGGCATAGCCCCCGCTAGGGGAATACGGTAATCTGGGGGGGTCCGGTAGGTAAATTTAGCAATCGGGAGGGGGTCCAGGGGCATAGCCCCCTCATAGCTCCCTCATAACCCAGGGCCATAGCCCCAGGGTTGTGGTTCTTATGGTGATCTTACTTGTAGTTCATGCGTTTAAGATGCGGTTCACTCACCCATTCGTTCGCACGTGTCGAAACATCCATGGCCGAATTATCTCTCGGGTTTCTACATTTTTGACTTTCCACATTCTTTTGCCTTTTAAAAATGCATGGGATGAATGTCTTCGTCTCTGACAGGTGTGGTCCTATTGTTTATAGGCATGATAAAATCACAGAATAAGGATGAAAGCACAGAAATGTCAAACTGTAGCAAACTTAGCATGTATGTCCTAAGAATAATTAAACATTTTGATGATGTGCGCCCCTGCCGGAAAAAATAGCTCTTCAGTGCAGGCTTCCAACAATAAACACCGGAAATATATCCAGCAGAGTCTCAATCCAATTATGAATATTCCAAGAGCGAGTGTATGCTGGATGAGTAGCCAAATTGTTATAAAATCCGGTGCAGGAACAATATCCACAGAGTAAAATCAAAGCAATCCAAATGGTACAAAGAAGCAATGAAAGTTTGATGTTTCCAGATATAAAGGTATCTTTATGGTGTGAATGCTGCTCTATCTTGCCGTGCATACCGAGGTGAAGAGAATGTGTCCTGGGGGGCGTTGGGGGCAGAGCCCCCTCATCAACTCTCCTCTCGGCAGTACCAAAGGCATGCCTAGTCATGGCAACTAAAATTGATATATTAGGCTGGTTTATTGGTCAGTACATTTTTGGTGGATTTGGACTATGTGAATTCCCAATGGGTTTTGCTGAAAGGTGGGTCAGGTTCCCATAAAGTTTATGAATTCTGGCACATCAGCCCGTAGAATTTCAAAGATGACGATTACATCCATAGAGTTCAATTGACCAATTTTAAGCATTTTTTGTGCAAATTTTATGCATTTTTTATCGTTATTCTTCTTATTTAAGCCTGTTTTACCCCATAATTTCCCAGATACACTTCATGCTTTCCCCTGCTAATGGGACTAACAAATCAAGATCGTCGATGGAGAAATGCTACTCGATCTCCTGAATGATTCATTCGGACAAGAAACAATGCCAAGAATCGCTGAAATCATTGGATTTCCTGCAGAAAAACATCCATTTTTTCAACTTAGTCTCAGGGAGGGTGTGTCGCTCTCTGTAACAGATACCGGATTGGATGGCTGTGTGGAACTGAAACTATTAAAAGAATATATATACATATATATATATATATTTTTTCTCTCTCTCTCTCTCTTCTTCTTCTCTCTCTCTCCTCTCTCTCTTTCTCTCTCTCTCTCTCTCTCTCTCTCTTTCTCTCTCTCTCTCTTCTTTCTCTCTCTCTCTCTCTTTCTCTCGTCTCTTCTCTTTCTCCTCTCTCTCTCTTTCTCTCTCTCTTCTCATCTCTCTCCTCTCTCTCTCTCTCTCTCTCTCCTCTTCTCTCTCTCTCTCTCTCTCTCTCTCTCTCTCTCTCTCTCTCTCTCTCTCTCTCTCTCTCTCTTTTCGATTATTACAGTGTCATTACATTTTCCTGTAAATGAATAGAAAAGTATTACATGTTATGCAACTTGCAAAGCTAATTCCATAGAAGAAAAGTGTCTTATTTCTAGTCATGCCGTCTATTACAGAGAAATTTTGGTAATTTATTCTAATAGCTCCGCATAATGGATTGTGACGATTTTGGCATCATTTGACTGCTTTCACCATCTAAAATTCTTGCCCTAATAGCAGGAGAGGCCATGAAGGTACCAGGGAATTTGTGGGGTAAAAATAGATAGTATACACAGAATCAGTCACTATATTGTCTAATGCAGGAGACTGTGTCCCTGCGACCCCCTATAAGGGGCTACTGCGCCCCCCCCTCGCCCAGGAAGACAAATCCTCTACATATTCACGCAGGAGGGAGCATCAGACAGGCAATGCCACTGCTCCCTCCTGCCATGAATCTGCATAGAATTTCTTGTTTTCCTGGGGTGCATAGGGAGCACAGGCTCCTGCATCAGACAATATAGTGACTGATCCTGTGTGTATTATTGACATTTTACCCCACAATTTCCCTGGTACTTTTCATGCCCTCCCCTTCTGTCGGGGCCAAGAATGTGGGGGTTTAGGGGTTTCTGCACAATAATTTCTATATGAAAACTAGACAGTGAGAGGAATCCAACAATACTACCAAAATTATCACAATCCGTTATGCGGATGTATTAGAAAAAAATACTGAAATATTACCTTGTACTACATAGCTATAGGAAATTAGACTATAACCTACAGTTTACTTACACAGCACCAGCTGGTAACTATCCAGAATATGAGCAATTAAAAGAATCCTTGGTTATTTATTTGTTTTGTGTATCCATCTAACCATGAAATTATTATTTCTAGCTTGTAATACTTATGGTGTGATATGTGTGAACTGTTGTTTTTCATTGCAAGTGATTGTAGTGAAATTATGGGTAACTGTGTATGAATTGACTGCATCCCCTCTATGACTAAGTCCTTACTACTCCAACCACTCCTGGAATCAACAAATATCATATGAATCAAAAACCTTGCTACCCCCCTAGACCCCTTACTATCTGTGTGCATTAGTTGTGACCAATTTCCTTCTTTCTGATGTTCTCACCAGTGTAGATTATTTCATGTGCTGAATGTAGTTTTTCCCTTTCTTTATAAGTGTCATTAGATTTTTGAGTTTATTATGGAAATGTATATCAATGTGTTATACATTGCACATCAATTTGCAAAGGAAATATAGATGAAAATGAACTTATTTTTTATATTGTCCATTACAGGCATAGTTTACCTTGTACCATATGACTGTGTGAAACTGAAACTATACCAGAAAAAGAATGTTAGTTAAAGAGAACATTAAACTACAAAAAAAATATTTGTGCAAGGCTTAACCCAATCATCCCAGGTAAAAAAGTTTGGCAAATGAACATGACTGGGATTGTTGGCCCGCATCGGCAGATTCCCGTTTGTGCCCGGCTTGTTCAGTAGTTTGCGAGTGACATTCGGTACCCAAAGGCTTTTATTTTACTAGAATTTTTAATGTTATAAATTGAAGGTTTACCCTCACTTTAGATGCTGTTGCCTAAAAGCTTTACCTTATCAGTGAAAAACAGGCTCCATCTGATGAGCCAATGGTGTGGGAATAGTCGTGATACGTGCCATCTACTACTCTGTCCACAACAGCCATGGCATGTACGTACATGCCACCCAGTGGCAAGGGGTTAACTTGCTGGATCTGAATGCTTCACTTCCTGCGAATAGGCTTACTTCAGTAGCCACTCTGATGAGTGTGGCTTGTAGGCCTGGTGCAGATGAACACCTGTGTGGAGTGATAAGACTCCATGCCTCCCTCTTGCAATGTTATTCTTTTCCTGCATAAGATTTTTTTTTCCACTGTGTCTATATTTGTCATATGATTTGCTTTATCCAGGTGGTGATAAACTGTTTTCTCTCAAGATTAATTAAATTTTCTGTAAGGCAACCTCTGCTACAGGTATGGTGGGAAGGAATAGGATCCTGAGCATGGGAATAGAGTCCTCCCTGAAGCCACTGCTTTTCTTGTCATATTTCAGGATGGTACATTCCATTCTCGTTTAACCATGGAAATAATGCAATATCACCTTCCTAAATGCCCGCTGAGTGTAATCACCCTCCAAGAGCTTTGTGCATTCATGGCGAGTTATTCCCATCACCCTGCACTTCAGCAGAAATTCCCATGATTGCAATTTTCTGTCACCCCAGCCATTCAGCCAAATTTTCCCATGGAGGAATGTTCATGTCACCTGTCCCTCAAGCCAGTTTTTTTCTTGATGTCATGCTTACATCATCCAGACCATAGGGGTTAATGATAAATTTTGAAAAGAGGACTACATAGAGATGGAGGAAAATATTATTTGTATCTTCCAGTACACAATATACAGGACTACATATTTATGAAAATAATCTTTAGAAGCAAAGTGAAGTCCACAGGGACTTATCAATGTTTCAAGTTTAATGATTCAAGTACTTGCTATGGCCTGCATGTCTTTGGATAACTTCAATTAACTATATTCTGGCAAGATTGAGCTTGATTTGCCATCAAATAAGAACGAGTCTAATACCTTGCTTGTCAAATATAAGTGTGAGAGTTCCTGACCTTTGCTGGCGTGCCAGTCACAGAGGAAATGACCACTGCAATTTACTCTCAGGTGGCAAGATATCTTTTTTCCAGATTGCTTGTGGTTGTCTGTTATATTACTTAATATATGGTGGCTTATTGCTGACAATTGATTGGGCAAGAAGCACAAACTGAGGGCATGACATCACCAAGTGCATAAGTCTAAGGAATGTATTGTGTGGGCGTAACCCCTATAATCCAGATGACATGACCATTGTCATGAAAATTTTTGACTCAAGGTGCAGGTGACTTCAACATGACCCCATAAGAAAATTTGGCTGAAGCCCAAGGTGATGGGAATGACTCACTACAAGTGCACAAAGCTCTTGGAGGGTGATTAAACTCTGTTGGCTTTAGGAAGGGGATTTTGCAATATTTCCATCAATAAAAGAGTGGGAAATATATAATCTGTGAGCCATGACTGTAAGAGCACCAGCTCTAGAAAATACACAGCTTCCATGCTCAGGGACCTATTCCTGTCTGCTGGACTACCTAGAGAGATGATTTGGAGTCTGTGCAAGAAAAATGGTCTATTACCATCTGCATAAAGCAGATCAAATGACAAATATAGACATTAGGAAATGGAAAGCGTAAGTCTATTGGCCATATTTTGGACCATGCATAGGAGGTGAAGCATCCGGATCCAAGGGGTTAGATATAGCCTCCTTTTAGCAAAGAAATATGTGGACACCCAGATAGTTTATATACAGCAAGAAGTAAAAGCTAGCCATAGATCACTATTATTTAGTACAAATAGGTACCACTGAAGAGGCTTTACTGCTTATGGTGCAGTACATGCCAGTGAACCAGTCCAAACTCTGTCTTTTTAACATGGCGGAAGTTCATTCACTGCCATAACGCAGGAAGCATTTGACATAAGGTGTGTCATACAGTTGAGGGAACTTGGGTAAAAACACATATTTTACAGTTTTTTATTCTAGAATTGTCCAGGATAGGACTGTGGCATCTGCGCTTCACTCTCTGGCAAAAGCCAACAGGTTACTTATATTCACAAAAGTAGAGCTTGAACTGTTTTTTATTTGGTGAAAAATTCTCTTGGGGAGGTCTGTAAGCTATATTTTGCCAGATATATATGTTGTTTCTTTAGCCTCTGCTGGAGCATAAAGCTGGAATCAGGCACATGAGCATAGATTTCATTGGTGATTGTGGCCTTACCTTTACTTTTCACAGAAGTTTTTACATACCATTATGTTCATTACCTGAATTTTTCAGTCTTTATAATACATAAGAAAGGAAGTACTAGTATCTCATTCCAGAAAAGTCTGAAGGTTTACTCTTTATTTTTGTTATGTTAGATCATTTTAAATTTACAGAAAGTTTGCCTGAACATAAGCATAATGAAAATCAAACTCAATATTATTGGAATGAAGTGACTAAGCACTAGAGGCTAACCTGACTCGATAGCAGTAAGTGCAGAGGAAACTATTTCCAGAAGTTCTTTTGTAGCTGATACTTTTCATGGGATCAGTAATTGTATATATGTAGTGAAACATAAGATAGCAGGTAAAATTGGGTCAAGCCCTTGCATTAGAAAGGTTTTTGATTCATAAAGTGATGTTTGTGGATTCCCAGGAATGCCTCCAAGGTGGTTGGTTGGAGTAATAGAGACTTAATATCAGAGGAATGCCGTCATTTAGTAACCAATTACTGGAGCATGTACTCAACAGCAGTTCTAGATGCTTTGCAGTTGGCTTATCCAGTCACAAATTTTAAACATTTTTTGATCAATAATACAATAATACAAACAAATATTCAATAAGGAGTGTAATATGAAATGCTTTTACCAAAGCCTCCCATGGTTCCTGTTTTGTCATTTTTGTATTTAAAGTAAATTATGGTTTTAAGATTTGTATGTGTGCTGTTGCATATTGATACGTTACACTGACAGAAATATTTTTTCTATTTTTTTTTTTTTTTTTTTTTTTTTTTTTTTTTTTTTTTTTTATGTCCACTTACCTCCCATGCTTGTCTACAGGACATAATGCTATGTCAATTATTTTATACTGCCTTTTCTTGACTTTTTTCTCTTTCTCTCTCTCTTCTTTTTCTTTTCTTTTCTTTTCTGTTGACATTTTTGCAAGTAATTTATGTAATTCTTTCACCAAAGTGTTAATATTTATCAAAGAGCCTTAGTATCGTTACCTAATAATGAGAATTCATCTAAGTCGTCTTCCTAACTGAAGAGGAGGAGAATTATTCTTAGTCATAATTTTTTCTCATCTGCAGAGTTTGAGAAGGCTGAGACCCTCTTGATCTCTGAGGTCCACATGCTGTTAGAACATCGCAAACAGACAAATGAAAATGCAGAAGAAGAACAAGAACTGAACGAGGTAATTTTTTTTCTTTTCTTTTCTTTTCTTTTCTTTCTTTCTTTCTTTTTCTTTCTTCTTTCTTTTTTTTTTTAGAGTTAGTTAGAAAATGAAGATATTGTCATGATTGCAGTTACAAGTCACTAATGTGATAAAGGTTTAGGGAATGTTGTCATATCTTTATGCCTAGTGGATTGTACAGACAGGGAGAAACAACCTAGGTCCACAATTTTTGCCAAACAGAAATCACAAGTGCCAATACTGACTCACTAGAAGCTTATAATGAATGACACCAGTGTTGATTTATGCCCCCCCCCCCCAGTAACGATGGGTAAAATTTTTTGGTAATTTTGAGCAAGGAAGGTGTACAGCAGTTTGCACTTCTTCACTCTTGGGTGTTTGTATGGCTTGCTCTTGTGAAGAGAGCTCATAAGAATAAGACCTCAGTCCAGTAATTGGCACCATCCTTTGTTTGGTAATGATTATCCCCACATGTTAGGATTTCAACCGTTGCCAGTTAGTTAATCTTTATTGTAAAAAAAAAAAAAGAGAATGACATTTGGAAAATTATTATAACATTCCTCCCTGCAGAGATTCATGAAGACCTTGAATTACTGTGAAAGGTTTTCCAAGTTCAAGAACAGAGCCACGATTAAGGCCATTCGCGAACTTTTAAATCAGAAGAAGCTGCACAAATTTGAACTGGCAGCACTTGCCAACCTTTGTCCAGAGACGCCTGAAGAAGCCAAAGCTCTTATTCCCAGGTATTTTTTTTCTTCTTTTTTATATATCTATTTTAAATTGTGTATTGGTGTGTATACAGTCTGTGCATGTGTGTGCATATGAATGGGTTGTTAGGTGGGTGCATGTTTTTGTTTGTCAACATACACACAAAGTTGCTAGTCAAGTCTTGATACCCAGTGACCTTCAGTCCATTTTATGAAACTTTCCTGATTGTTTATTTGTGTGTATAATTTCTTTGGTCTAAATTGCATGAGATTAGATAACTGTTAGATAAGATATATTAGCTGTTCCATAGATAATTATTAAGTGATGATAAATATAAGTGATTTATAAAATACTGTATAGCCCAAAAAATAATGTGATATAACACATGAAACACCTTATTTTTGTTGTTGTTGTTATAAGGTTAGATAGCATAGTATAACAGATCAGGACTTACATAGATATTTGATTTTTAATTAGACCATATGAGAAATGTGATAATATTAAGCTATACACGCACGCACACTCACTCCACTCATACACACACACACACACACTTTAGTCTATATAAATATATTAAAATATGTAAAGTTTACAGCAAATGTTCTGTATATAGAAACAGTAGATTATATGGATATTGATTTCAATAATTTTCAGCTTGGAAGGGCGTTTCGAGGATGAAGAGCTCCGTGTGTTGCTAGAGGACATGGCAACACAAAGAAGCTTTCAGTATTAAAGTATACTGTGTGTGCAGATGCATTTTGTATTACCAAACCACTCAGCAGTGAAGGAAATAATGTTGCTCTTGTTTCAGCAAGGGTGGCTGTTGCAATTTTACATTTTGAGGTACTGTATAATTGTTTTGGAAATGTATATATATAGTCAAGCACTATTAGGCATTGCCACTTGCCAGCCATCCTTTCTCAGTGCTCAGGAAGTGATTTGGATTTTATCTTGGCCACACAATAAAAATGTAGGGCTAGATCTTGACATGGGACCCCTTACGTCACTGTCTTTATTTTTGTTCACTCTTTATCATTGTGGATGCTTTGTTGCCTTTAGTCTACTGCGGAGTGAAATGAAAGGCATAACAATCATTTCTTTGTTGGTGAAAATAGGATAAGTTTGTGAAGATCATATACTATTTTAATGTTTGTGTCATTGAGAGTCAGATACCTGGAGTACCTGTTTTTTAGAAATTTTGTTGATTTTGAAGCTTCATAAATTTCGAAGTTATTATTTCTATTTAGTAATATTATTCTTACCAGAACTTGTACTATAAAGTTTTGAAGATTGAAACTAGTATAATGAGGTTCTGAGATAATGAAAAGTATTTTGTACAAATATTACAGATGTTGTAATTTTCCTAGCTATTTTTTATACTTTGTCAGGAAGACTGTTGGGTAATACCAATCTTTAATGAAGGAAATGATATGTTTAACGGTTGTATTTATTAAGAAAAAAATATCACTAAGTTCTAGTACAACTAAAGCATTTTTAAACACATTTCATTTATCACCTTCCTGTGTCTTTACTTACAGTATTTGTAGTGTTTACACAGACTGAATTTGTATTATTTACACAAATAATATATACTAATACTGTATTGTAAACACGGATTCAAGGAATAGGTTTAACGTTCAAAGAAAATGAGTAATTTTATAGAACAAACTATGTTTTTCAATGTCTCATCTCATATAGTCTTCGTTCGGGATATGCTTTATCGCTATAAAATCGGTAAGTTGAATTACACAAATATTGTTCCGTGAAATTACTCATTCTCTAAGGTTCAAATTACGTGTCTTCACATAAATATAATGGGATCATAACTTAGTGGCGAAATATGCAATTAAATTTGTGTAAGAAAACTGTGATCAGTCTATCACTTCCTGTGTTATTTTATCAAAATATAAACATGGGAATTAATCGAATAGAAGAAGTGAATGCAGAAAAAAAAAGGAAAAAGAGAATAAGAAGTATAAGAATTGATTAAACGATTTGCAAAATGTAGTACTACATATGAGTTGAAAAATCTGGCAGATTGTTGGGTGACGTTTCCTTTCCATTCTTGAGTTCCCCGTTCTTCTCCAGATGCCCAGATTCTGCCGACTGTTTTCTCTTCTCTGAATTTCTAAGATACATCAGCCATCAGTAATGAAAGTCACCATACTCACTTTTATTTCTTAGAAACTGAATAATAAAGTAGGCATTTTATGATGAATATTTTATATGTGGACATTGATATGACCAGTAAACATAAAATTTATTACTTACTTGTATAGACAGTAGTGCTGAATAAAGAAGAAAATATTGAAGAATATGGAGAGTAGGCCTAGACCCAACTTAGCAGGGTCCGTCAAGATGGAAAACCAGTCATCTAAGAAAATTGCAGCTTATGTTAGTAAAGGAATGATGCTATTTTTCAGTATTGCAGTATACTATTTCCCATTTTTATATTATTAGCACTGAAACCAATCTTATCTTTGTGGATTGTGACTTTAAATTTAACATGAAGATCTTGGTTAAATAAATAAAAGTGTTAGTTAGGTCACAGGAAGAGTGACCAGAAAAAAGCAAGGAAATTATGGGGAACATTATTGAAGGCTGGAAGGGAAGACTTACCATAGTTGCCAGCAAGGAGGAACATCTGGATAAGGGACAAAGAGCCTCCAGTGAAGTCCAGAATGACTTGGTATATGCTCCACCCTGCTGTGCTCTTCCGCTGGTAGTTTTCCCATAGCTGTGAGTAGCAAAAAGAATGGGAAGTAATTGATAACCATATACAGTAATTAATCTGCCAGTGCATCATGTACTAAAGACTAATTGTTTTCATCATGCTTCTCTTTTGAATGACAGAAAATGAATTAAATGGTAGATAATGATGTGAAAGATCAACGAGACATCTTCATTAGCGCTAGTAGGTTGTAACTTCCCATTATAGTTATTTACGTTTTATGATCACTCAGTGTTAAAGATCAGTGATGTAATGCCTCCTAAGAGCACAAGTTGTATATTTTAATTACAGTCAGGGTATTTCACAATCAATATTGTGCCTGAACAAAAATATGCATTAAGAAGGAAACTAACCAGATAAACCCATTTACTGACCTGCGGAGTGTATTTAATAGCAGTGATAATGAGTTTGATGTAGGAAAGCCAGTAGAACAGATCTAGCCACAGCAGGCTTTTCACTGAAGGCACCAGCACACACCCAACCAAAGCAGAGACAATTAACGCTGCCGAGATGATGCGACAGGTGGTGGACACTCGTTGTTGAGGCTCTCTCTGTGGAATATTGCATTTAAGAGAGAGAGAGAGGGGGGGGGGTGATAGTGTGTGGGTGTGGGTGTGGGTGGGTCTGTTTGCGCGCTTTAAAAAACAAAACTAAAAAACTTTTGAGATGTGTTGAAAAGTTATACAAATTGGTCATACCATTAGGGCTTACATTTATAATAAGGTAATGTTTTGTTGATACCATTCATCGGTTTATCAACACACTAAAATATTGTATAAGCATTGTTTTTTTCCCAAATTCCTCACACACGCTCGCTCTCTCTCTTTCTCTCTCTCTCTCTCTCTCTCTCTCTCT